CCTCCAGATGCTGAGTCGTCTGTCACTCACTCACAGCCAACGGCCACACCTGAGAAGGAGCTTTTCTTCATGGTTTCCCCACATCGACACCTGGACTGACTAACCTGACAGGTTCCTGGGGTAGAGTTGAAACCTGTTTCCTGGTATAAATGTGCTTTGCCTTTTCTGTTATGTGCCTGTTTTTGTAATTTGGTTCAGAACCACCATTTACCATGGACCCAGGAACTCAGATTGCCATTTTCAAGTGTTCCTAGTTCCTCCTTCTTCCTCTTCTCCTTCTCCCTCTTCTTCATAATCAGTACCTTCCAGAGTACCTACTATACATATTCCCTTTAATATACCCAGTACTCAACTTTGTGAGGTAGATCTACAAGGACAGTGCTTCTCAGACTTTAATGTGCATAGGGAATCCTGTTCAAAGGCGATTCTGTCGAGTAGGTCTGGGAGATACCTGAGATTCTGCATTTCTCACAAGCTCCCATGCGATATTGATGCTGCTGGTTCTAATTCCTTGAGTGGCAAAGATATCAGGAAGAGTCTTTTGGTTGCAAGTGACTGAAATCCAATGTGAACTAGTTAAGCAAGAGGAATTTATTACAAGGATATTGGTGTCTCACAAAGCCGAGTACAGGATTAAAAACGCACCCCAAGAGGAGTGGAAGCCAAAGAGGACCCTCTTGGTTCTTGACTCTTCTTTCTCCTTGCATGCATTTCATTGCTCCATTCTTCCTCCACCCTTCCTTCCTTCCTTTCTCCTCCATTCTGGTTAGGACCAAGGTAACTCTACCCATAGTCCTGTGGATTCCATGTCCTCTGCTTCCTTGATTTACTGCTTTGGTATGGTGGAGCATATCTTCCAGTAACTTCCTATGAAAGTGAGCAACAGAAATAAAATTTTACTTACTAACATAACTGAGGGGAGCCTGGGTGGCTCAGTCGGCTCAGCGTCCAACTTCAGCTCAGGTCATGATCTCAAGGTTCGTGACTTTGAGCCCCGCGTCGGACTCTGTGCTGACAGCTCAGAGCCTGGAGCCTGCTTCAGATTCTGTGTCTCCCTCTCTCTCTCTGCCGCTCCCCGCCCCTCACTTTCTCCTTCTCTCTCAAAAACAAACTTTTTAAAAAATTAGAAAAAAAAACCTGAAAATGTCTCTATACTCAATAGTATAAAGTATAGAATTCTAGCTTCCAGAGTAGCTGTTATAATATCCAATACCATTTCAATTTTCTATCCTTTGTATCTCATTCTGAAAGTTAAAAATTTTTGTTTATTAAAAATAGATTTTTGTTCATTTATTTTTGAGAGAGAGAGAGAGAGAGAGAGAGAGAGATGGAGTGCAAGTGGGGGAAGGGCAGAGAGAGAGGGACACACAGAATCTGAAGCAGGATCTGAGCTGACTAGCCGGAGGCAGGGCTCGAACCCACAAGCCATGAGATCATGACCTGAGCTGAAGTCGGATGCTTAACTGACTGAGCCACCCAGAAGTCCCTCATTCTGAAAGGTTTTAGATTCTTCTCTCTGACCCCTAGCATTCTGAAAGTTCACAATGATGTGCCTTGGGATGGTTCTTTCCTCATTCATTATACTGGGCACTTAATGAGTCTTTTTGACCTGGAAACTTACATCCTTCTGTTGTAGAAAAAAAAAAAAATTCTTCTGGTTATTCACTTATTTCTTCCCCTCTGTTTTTTTGTTCAGTCCATCTGGAGCTCCTGTTATTAGGATGTTGGATCTTCTGACCTGATCTCTTGATCTTCTTATCTTCTGTATCTAATTTTCCATCTCTTTATCTCTTTGCTTTACTTTCTGTAAGATTTTATAAACTACTTTTTCTAACTTTGCTAGTTGAATTTTAAATATTTCTATTTTTAATTTCTCAGAGTTCTCTTTTGCTGTTCTCTGAATATTCCTTTTTCTAATAGGCTACTATTCTTATTTCATGGGTGTAGTAGCCTCTCTTCTGTCTCCAGGAACATTATTCTTGTCCTTTTTTGAACTTTTCTTCTCTCTACATTCTTTTCTCTTTTCTTTCTCTTTTCTTATTTCTTTATTTTGGTCTCTGTCTTTCATGTAGACTTTCTGTTTCTATTAAAGAGTGAGGCAGGGGCGCCTGGATGGCTCAGTCAGTTGACCCTTGATTTCAACTCAGGTCATGTTCCCGGGGTCATGGAAGTGAGCCCTGTGTCAGGCTCCACACTGAGCATGGAGACTGCTTGAGATTCTCTCTCTCTTCCTCTGCCTCTCTCCCCTGCTCATGCTCTCACTCTAAAAAAAAAAAAAAAAACAAAAAAACAAAACAAAAAACACTTTAAAGAGGGAGGCACTAAACAGTTTACCGGAAGAGGAACTAAGAAGAAACTAATGAAGCCCTCTTCATTGTACCTTTTGAGTCTTTTAAATTCTGAGCCACATTAGTATAAAGCCTATTCAAAAAAAAAACAAAACAAACCTTTTAGAATTTATTTTAAGCTTTATGTGCACAGGAATGGCTTGTCCATTGAGGAATTTTACTGTAGAGATATTGAGATAAGGTGTCAAGCAGCTTTTTCTCTGAGGGGACTTCTAAATGTCAGTGTTTAAAAGTCTCTCTGGGCCATTAAGTCTTTTCTGATAAGAATCTTCGAGACTTCTGTCTGAGGATAGGTGTTGGGGGAGGGTATAAGCCTAACTGCCAATTTTGTTGAATGAGTGTTGGAGGAAGGCCGGATATTCCACTGTTGAGAATGTAGCTTTTTAAACAGGTACCTCAACCCTCTCCTAACTATACATACAACTGAGTCTGTCAGCCTCTGGAGTAAGCTTCTCAAGCTGTCTGTGGTGAAGGACCAGTTTTTAAATTTCTTATCTGTCAGGGACCCACATGTAGTTCTAACGCACATGGCTAGTACATATCTCTTACCACACATGACTCACAATAGGAGTTCAAACATCCAAACTGGTCTACATCCTGTTCAGAAAGAAGAATCCACTGAGAACACACTTGAAGGTTGAGGCAATTTCAAATTTCTATAAAAATTCTAAACACTCTTACTTTCTGTACTTATCATATTAGGGCCAGTAACAAAGTTTATGGGCCTAAACCAGTTCATGAACCAAATTTAACAGCACTGCTCTAGAAAAAAACAGTCTAATCTCTTGCCTTGAGGAGGAGCTGTCACTAGGCTTTGAGAAGGTGTTGGGGAAAATCTGGAGGGCTGGACTGCTCTGCAAATAGACTTTCAGCTCATTCCCCATCTCAGCTCTGCCCTTCATTCCCACATTCCTTGGTACCCTGGGTTTCCAAACCCAGTGCTTTCCTGAATTGCTCATGTCCCATGATTGGTTCCTTTCTGCAGGCATCAGGCCACAGCTTCTACTACTTGGCCAAATCATTTACCCCTCCTTATTCTACTTTCTTCTCCCATTTTCTTTGTCCTTGCTGTTTATACTTTAAAAAATCCCTTTCAAAATCCTGACTTCTTCACAGAATTGATTCAAAAAGTATGGAATTTCAAGGCACCCAGAATAGCCAAAACAATCTTGAAAAAGAACAAGTTTAGAGGGCTTATATATCCCAATTTTAAAACTTACTGCCAAGCTACAGTAACATGTTATCAAGTGTGATTTTGGCATAAGGACAGACATACAGATCAATGAAATAGAATTGAGAGTCCATAAATAAACCTTCTGATGTGTGATCAATTGATCTTTGGTAAGAATGCCAAGACAATTCAGTGGGGGAAAGAATAGTCATTTCAGCAGGTGGTGCCAAGACATGTGGAGATCCACACACAAAGAATGAAGTTAAACCCCTACCTCACATCACACACACAAATTAACACAAAATGGATCATAGACCTACACGTAAGAGCTAAAAATTTTACACTTTAGAAGAAAATATAAGAGTGAATCTTCATGAGGCAAAGACTTCTTATATATAACATCAAAAGCACAAGTAACGAAGGAAAAAATAAATTGGACTCATGAAAATTAAAAACTTTTGTGTTCCAAATGACACCATCAAGAAAATGCAAAGAAAACCTACATAAGAGAGAAAATATTTTCAAATCATATATCTGATAAGGGACTTATATCCAGAATATACAATGAACTTTTACAATCTATAGTAATAAGGCAAATAATCCAATTTTGAAATGGGCAAAGGACCTAAATAACATTTTTCCAAAGAAGATTTACAAATGGCCAATAAGCACATGAAAAGATTTTCAACATCATTAGCCATCAGGGAAATGCAATTTCAAAACTACAATGAGATACCACTTGATACTCTCTAGGAGGCTATTATCACAAAGACAGATGATAACAAATGTTACTAAGGATGTAGAGAAATTGGAACCTCACGTTGTACTGATGGGAATGTAAAATGGTGCAGCCACTTTGGAAAACAGTTTGCAGTTCCTCAAAAAGTTAAATGTAGGGGAGCCTGGGTGACCCAGTTGATTGGTGATGGACTCTTAATTTTGGCTCAGGTTGTGATCTTGAGGTAAAGGGATTGAACCCTACATGGAACTTTGCAACTGGACATGGAGCCTGCTTGAGATTCTCTCTGTCTCAATCTCTCTCTCTCCACCTCCCTCCCCTGCTCGCATTACCTCTCTCTCTCAAAAATAAAAAACAAAAATTCTTAATAATTAAAAAAAAAGTTAAACATAGACCACATGATCCAGCAATCCCACTCTTAGGTGTATATATTCACATAATGAGTGAATGTTCAAAAGCAACATCATTCATGATAGCCAAAAAGCAGAAACAATTCAAATGGTCATCTGCTGAAGATGGATAAATAAAATGTGGTATATCCATACAATGGAATTTTATTTAATGATAAAAATAAATGAAGTACTGATACATGCTACAACATGAATGAATTTTGAAAACGTTATGCTTAGCAAAAGTCACAACGTCACAAAGTCACAAATGCTTCCATTTACATAAAATGTCAAGAATAAGGAAATCTACACAGAGAGAAAATAGATCAGTGGTTGCCTAGGATGGAGTCCAGGGGATAGGGAGGAAATGGGGAAGGAGGTTTTTTTCAGGGTGATAAAACTATTCTAAAATTGATTGTGATGGGACACCTGGGTGGCTCAGTTGGTTAAGCCTATGAGTCTTGATTTCAGCTCAGGTCACGATCCCATGGTCCGTGAGATCTCATGATTCATGAGATCAAGCCCTGCATTGGGCTCTGCGCTGACAGTGCAGAGCCTGCTTTGGATTCTCTCTCTCCCTCTCTCTCTCTGCCCCTCCCCTGCTTGCATGCACGCATGTGCTCTCTCTGTCTCAAAACAAATAAATAAACATTAAAAAAAAAATAAAATTGATTATGGTGATGGCTGCACAATTCTGTGAATATACTAAAAGCCTCTGAATTAGACACTTTAGATAGGTGAATTGTATGGTATGTGAGTTATTTCTCAATAAAGCTGTTATAAAGGAATTTCTGGGATCAACCCACCTGGTCTAACTGCAAGTCCCAGTGCCACCACTCTTGAATGTGGAGGGTCTTCAGCTTATCTTATGCACAGTGCTCCTCAATTATTAACACATGAGCTCAAATCTGAGGTGACACATTTGTTCTCAAACTAATGGTGATTTAAGGGCTTGCTATTGGCTTCCTTAGGGGATGTACCTAAAAATGGTGTTTGTTGAGTCAGACATATTAATCAACTGTGCTTAACTTGACACTCTTACTCCACAGAAAAGTTTCTTTTATTTTTAAAAAGCTATCTCCTTTTATTAATAGCAAATAATACAAAAAGCTCCTCCCTTTTTGAAAGCCTCAGCATGTGTTCTGAATGAGGATATAAACCCAGTTGGTTCATTTATTCAACAAATATTTCCAGAGTACTCACTACGTGCTACTCTGCCA